CCAACCAGTGGACAATGATGGCACCCATGAATGAACGGAGGAGTGACGCCAGCGCCACCTCACTGCAGGGCAAGGTAAGCACATTTACTCATGACCCCACACTCTACAGTTTAGAATAAGTATTGTAGAAAACATGTCGGACACTGTCAGTGTGTCATACTGTATTTGTGTGCGTTTGGCAGGTTTATATCTGTGGTGGCTTTACTGGGGTCGAGTGTCTCTTCTCAGCTGAGAGCTTTAACCCCGAAACCAACCAGTGGAGCCTCATCGCTCCCATGAGAAGCCGCCGCAGTGGTGTTGGTGTGATCACTTATGGAAATCTAGTTTATGCTGTGAGTACCACTGTTATTTTTGTATCAGTGATATACTATTATAATTTTTCATATTTGTTTTTGTAATTACATTTTTTTTTTCATTTGAATGTTTTTTGCATCATTTATATTATTTTTAATTTTTTTAATATGTCTAAGTTTAAATTTTTAGTTTTAGTTTTAGGTACTTAAAACTAAATTAAACTAATTAAACTTAAATGAAATAAAAAAATGTTGCCTTTACAGTTAGCTGAAATAAAAAAAAATTTAATTTTATTTCAGTAAATGTTTATTTTGTTTCAAGTATTGTTTTGTTATGGGATTAACTTTATAATAACACATACAGATATATACATAACACATAATACATATATGCACATACAGAAATATGAAAATACAAAATATGGTGTTTAAGGGTGACAACTTAAATTAAATGAAAATGTTAATGAATTTTTTTTTATTTTTTTTATATTTCATTTAATTTCAGTTAATGTTTAATTGGTTTCAAATAATGAAAATGTTTTCTTTTTATGGTTTCAGTTTTGGGTTTCTTTAGTTTAATTATTAGTTTTAGTTTTGTTAGTTTATAATAACTCTGATGAGTATTATACATACAAACAAAACATGTGTTTAAAGGTGGCAACTTAAACTAAATAAAGTGTTGCTTTTGCAACAACCTGAAATAAAAGTATAAGTTTTTTTTATATATATATATTTTATTTTAGTTAACATTTGATTAGTTTACATTTTATTTGAAGTAATGAATTTTTATGGTTTTAATTCTAGTGAAGTTTTAGTCTAATTCAGTTTGGTTTAGTCATAATAACACTGGTGAGTATTATGCATGTGTACATAAATATGAAAATACAAAATATGGTGTTTTAAGGTGCCACAATTATTGACTGTACAAATATGGATACTAAGATATGCATGCATGGGTGCATTTAAAATAAAACATTTTAGATGAAACATTGTATATTTACAGATAAATGCACATTTATGTTTCAAGGTTGGTGGTTTTGATGGTGCCGCTCGTTTGCGAAGTGCCGAGGCCTACAACCCTCTTAATGACACCTGGCATGATATCCGGTCTATGATAAACCCACGCAGCAACTTCGGCATTGAGGTGACATCTAATGTGAATTCTGCTGAAACAGCAGTTTTTGAAGTTTCTCATTGATGCATACTGTCCGTGATACATAGAGTTATTTGATTGGCTAAACTGCAGGTGGTGGATGATCAGCTGGTTGTTGCCGGGGGGTTTAATGGAGTCGGCACCTGCCGGGATGTGGAGTGTTACAACCGGATGACGAATGAATGGTAATGTTCACAAACACTACAGCTCACTAATCATTTCACACCGCATGATGTTATGTCTACAAGTTAATAATGACCTAATTGGTGCCAAAAAGTTGAATTTATTAAATGGAGAGTTTTGATTGTTATTGAATGCCCATTTTTCCATTATATTGTGATGCATTTCTGAGACAAATGGGATGTTAAATCAGAAAAAAAGTGGACAGGAGTTGATTTTATCTGTGTAGAATTGATTGGCTCTTGAAAAGTGTCTTTATGCAACTTTATCTACCTTTTTTCCGCAAAGGGATGAAGTCTGCAGCATGAGCATTTCCCGCAGTGCTGTGAGCTGCTGTGTGATATCCGGGTTACCTGATGTCACACAGTACGTGGTGGATCGAGACTCTTTAGAGACATCAGATGATGAGTCTGACAGTGACTGATCGACCTCCAGTGGATATCTGACATTCGAACGAGAATGCACACTGAAACATCACAGCAGATGCCATATGATATAAGTAAATGCAGTTTAAAAAAAAAAAAAATGTGTTGGATTGTGCACTTTAAACTTAAGGAATCGTTTCTTCATTGGAAAAGATTTGGAGAAATGTAGCATTGCATCACTTGCTCAGCAATGGATGCTCTGCAGTGAATGGGTGCCGTCAGAATGAGAGTCCAAACAGCTGATAAAAACATCACAATAATCCACACCACTCCAGTCCATCAGTTAACATCTTGTGTGTTTGTAAGAATAAATCCATCAAGGATTCTGGCCTAAATGCTGATTTCATAATCCATAATAACGCTTCCTATGACAGCACCCATTCACTGCAGAGGATCCATTGGTGAGCAAGTCATGTAAAGCTACATTTTTCCAAATATGTTTCGATGAAGAGAAACTCATCGACATCTCGGATGGCCTGAGGGTGAGTACATATGTTCACAATTTTTATTTTTGAATGAACTAATTTCTTTTTACAATCAGGGATGCTGTGGTTTAGTGGTTAAAGATCAGAGTTGATCTTCAAAACCGGCAAGGGGTATTTTAAAATTTTGTATGCAAGAAGTGAAAGAGTAAAAATGCAACAACAAATGTCTTGTCTAAACAGTTCTTTCCAAAAACTTTCTCTTAAAGGTTTCTTTAATAGGATTTCAAGTTGACTGATTAGTTTCAATCTTAACTTATTTTAAGCATATGTATGGCTGCCTGTTTCCACCACAGAATAAAGAAATGACTTTTCTTACTTGTTTTGTGTGATATATGATCTTGGAATTGCAAGAAAAATGTCAGAATTGTGAAATAAGAAGTTGCAATTTTTAATTTATTTATTTTAATTTATTCATCCTATGTTTATAAACAGGCTTCCATGGGAATTCTTTCATTGCTTCTGATCACTTCTTGTTGAATCTGTCAGTATTTTCTGTTTCTGTGTAGTGGACCGAATATGTTATTAGGTGGAAAATATGTATCACTATATCATTTATTTAACAAAACTATGGTACTGAATATCTGTATTAAATCTGAATTTTGGGTCTGACAGTTTTCTTGCATGTTATTTTGTCTAAATATATTTTGCAGCCTCATTCTTGACTTCTGAAAATGTCTTAAAGGGGTCATATGATGCGATTTCAATTTTTCCTTTCTCTTTGGAGTGTTACAAGCTCTTGGTGCATAAAGAAGATCTGTAAAGTTGCAAACAATAAAGTCTCAAATACAAAGAGATTCTTTATAAAAGTTAAGAGTCAGCCACACCTACCTAAAACGGCTCGTTCTAACACGCCCCCACATACCTACATCACTATGTGGGAAGATTTGCATAACGCCGCCCAAATGTTCACGCAAAGAAAGAAGGCGTAACTTTTATTCTCGCTGTAGTATTGCTGCCGCCGCCGTCATGTCGTGAAGACGCTGTGTGTCATTGTGAAAGCGAAACTACTTTGTTTGGTCTTCCAAAAGAGGACAATATCGCTTCGTCATGCCTAGAGCTGATCCGTGCTGGTCGCTGAGGAAATACATCAACTTCGATGCGTTTCAGAAAGGCGGGGCATAGAGGAGAAACAATAATGTACAGTATGTGGAAAATAATGTGTTTTTTGAACCTTAAACCGCATAAACACATTTCATTACACCAAATACACAAAATAATGTTATTTTTAGCAACATCATATGACCCCTTTAAAAAGTGCTCATTTCATTTAGTGATCTATAAAATACTGCAGAAATTGTAATGCTCTTCACTACAATATAGATTTACTTTACCCACTTACAGCATTTGAAATCAAATACACCTGTCAGAGAAAAATAACATTATTTTAGAGCAGATTTTTGCTGTTTTAACTGATATAAGTCCAGAGTTTCATATAAAATATTAATATATAATACCAAAAACTTCAGACATGGTATGGGTGATCATTTATTAATTTTTCTTTGAATAATTAGGTAAAACATGAATAAAATGTATCAATAAGACTGGCCATCTATCCTACATTTTTGATTCCCTGTCAGTCATACAACATATTAGATGGTTTAATATATTACATTCAATGAACATAATTTAACTACTGACACAAAGTGTAAAGCTGTTTATTCAGGATTTACAACAGTGTAAAGAACTTTAAAAACCAAGTAGCACTTTAACTAAAATTATAATTCATAAGGTCTGAATGCCCAAAACAACAAATGCCCCGTGTCCATGTCAAACAACAACAGATTAAACATAAAATTACAAAAAATATCAGAATAAATCAACAATCAAAACTTATATATACATATTCAACAACTTGATCTGCATTAGAAAATCAACGCTGTCTGTAATACCACACTGTGAAAAATCACTTGAGCTGAGCACTTCACCACCATAGTGAGCAAGAGACGCTATTCTACTGATTATGAAACGTGCAACGCTTAATTCAACCACTAAAGCAAATACTCGGACAAAACTGACACTGCCATATCAACAAAGACAACGTGAAGATGCATTTTAAAGGCCAATAGCACGAAAATGCATCTAAACAGACAGCAGAAATCAAGTGCATTCACAAAAACCTGATATTCTACAGCACATGAACACACTTTTAATATTTATCATGCATGACAATGCCAGTGACAACACTGAGGTGAACATTAGAAGGAGAACAGCTCTATGGGGTCTCGCATGCCACACACACAAGTACAAACAACGGTGTACGGGAAAGATTTCCTCATGGTGAAGTAAAGGGATTTAGCTTTATCCATATTAATATTCTATATACTTCTGTTTTCCCAAATGCAATGCAAGTTGCATTTGAACTTTCCAAGAAACGGCTTATATTTGAGCTAGTATCACTACAGAAATGTTCAACCAGTTTGTCACACACATACGATACGGTAAGAAATTCAACTAGATAGGATGCCACAGTATTTTTCTCGGACACATCACTTGAGGTCGCCGGCATCACCCTGGATGGTTTTCTTGATGCGCAGCAACATGGTGGTCTGCCATTGGTCGAGACGGGAGATCGAATCAAACTCCTTCACCTGGAGAATTAAACATGATTTATAGACGCCGCGTCAAAATGAGCTAAAAAAAAAACAAAACCTGAGTAAGAAAAACTACATATTCTACCTATTTGTACAGTGATTTTGATTCATTATTTGAATCAAAATAAATTAATAATAAAAAAACCCAAATACATTAATTAAAAAATAAACGAATTTTATTATTTTTATTTTAGCTCATTTTAATTTAGTTTAACGTGATGTACTAAACTAAAAAAAATAACTAATTCAAAATTAACGATTCAATGAAAAGAGAAAATGTAATATATATATATATATTAATAAACTATTTTTAAAAGTTTTTTTTTTTGAAAGTCAGTTTCAGTATAGACTTTCAAAAAAAGCAAAGAAAATTTAGTTTCAGCAAAATTAAAACTATTATGTAAGACAAAATTATTAGTAAACACAACAGCAACAATGTAAAATGTAACATAAATATCAGTATCACCCAAAATTAATTTATTAAAGACTTAGAAACAAATTTGTATAAAAGGTATAAACAAAAATATTCTATGTATTTGTACAGTGATTTTGAAAAAAAAAATCATTATTTTAATAAAATAAAATAAATTAATAATAAAAAACAAATATTTTATTTAAAAAAATAAACAAATTTTATTATTTTTATTTTAGCTCATTTTAACAGTTTAACTTGATGTACTAAACTTAAAAATAAACTAAAATTAATGAAAAAACAAACTTAAAATTTCAATGAAAAGAGAAAGTGTAATATACGTATATATATATATTAATAAACTATTTTTAAAAGGGTTTTTTTTGAAAGTCAGTTTCTGTATAGACTTTCAAAAAAAGCAAAGAAAATGTAGTTTCAGCAAAATTAAAACTATTATGTAAGACAACATTTTTAGTAAACACAACAGCAACAATGTAAAAAGTAACACACAAATATCAGTATCACCCAAAATGAATTTATTAAAGACTTAGAAACAAGTTTGTATAAAAGGTATAAACAAAATAATAATTTTTGTAATTAGACTTTTGATTCAAAACCTCATAGCTACTGAGATATAACCTGTGACAATTAACCCCGGTCACTCTTATACAGTCGAATCATCCAAAGCACTGTTCATTTGAAACTTTATAAACTTACGGCTTCAGTGAACGCCTCACTGTTCTGCTCCTCATGAGCCTCCAACAGTTTCTGTAAGGAAAGACAAAACCATAAAGTGCAAATAATGCTGCAAAGTGTAACAAGCACATTACTGCACTCGGTATGCACTGCTCAATTTAGCATGCATACTGCCTAAACGTCTTATACTATTTATGTTTACCATTGCTAATGAAATTAGACAAATGCACTTACTTTCAACAGCTTACACTCTCTTGAATCAGAGAATGCCGGAAACATCCCTTCATACTTTTCAATGGCAAGCTGAAAGAAATCAAACACAGAATATTTACATCAGATGAGCTGTTAATGTCAGGAGAAACTACTGAATTCATCATGGCTGACTGAGAGCGGCACATTTCTACAATAGAGCTGGTCAATGAAAATCTTTGTTGCATTAACGCCACTAGGTGTCAGTGCAAGACAAGACAAGCCAGCTAAAAATACTCAGTGCTTACGTTACTATGGGATAGTTACAACAAGAAACTATAGCAATTGAATTAACAGACTAAATAGCCTACAAAAAAGACACTAGTTAAAAACGACTGACCTTTGCGTTTAACTCATCCACTATGAAGTGGCAGAGAGCTGCTTTCCAGAAGTACTCTTTGGCGTTGTATTTCAGCAGAGGGTTGTCCATCGTGCTGGTTGCAACCTGAATGTGAAGAGACCTTTGATCATTTACAGAGAGAAGATATGATTCGATTTACAGTGCAAACATGAAGGTGCACTGGAAAGCATGCTGAAATCTTTTGCTAAGCACCCTTATTTTTCCAAATCTGAGTCTGCTCCAATAATGTTACATGCTCCATAAATGTCAAACAAACTTTCTTGCTAATAATACAGTTTTGCTTCCTCCTGGCTGTTGGCCTCAAAGACAAAAATATTGATATGACATGAATTGCTCATTCTAGGGTTAAACTCTCAATCTTTTGGTTAATATGCCACTTTGACTTCTCGTTCTCACTTTCATTTCCCTCCCATTGTGCAAAATCTAAATGAACTCGCTTACTCCAAAACACATGGAACCCCTAAACTCTAATGGAACATTAAATAAATGTAATAAATTTAAAATGGTTTTATGTTCTAATTATACAGTAAAAAATAATATTATTAATATTATTTGGAAAATATTTTGTTTCTGTTCCATTACATTATTGTATTTTCGTTCCTACTCACTATAGTATTGTATGTATTATTTATTTATTTAATAACATTTTTATTTTACAGGGTTATTAAAGTTACCTAAACCATAATTTTTTGTTGTTGTTGTTAAATAAACTTTCCCCCGGTTTCACAGACAAGGCTTAAGCTAGTCCTGGACTAAAAGGGATGTTTGAGCTATTTTAACTGAAAGCCAGTTGCACTGACATATCTTAAAATTTGTCTCAAGATGCACACCAGCAATGTTTTTTTCTAAATCACATTTATAAAAGCTACTTACATTCCCTAATTGAACTAAGACTTAATCCTGGCTTAGTCTAAGCCCTGTCTGTGAAACCGGGCCTTAATCTGAAATAAAATGTAACAAACATTTTATTTCAGCTAACTGCCAAGGACATGTTTAACTCTAGTTTAACTTGATGTACTAAATATAAAATTAATTTTTAAAATGACAAAAACACAACAAATTTACTAAAAGTTTAACAAAAATTTTAATGAAAAGAGAAAAGATAAAAACTAATTCAAATGATTAATGAAGAATATAATAGTGTCTCAAAATTACTACAATAACACTCTTTAATAATAATAATAATTGATTCATTGATTTACATTTTTTAATAGAAATAAATCAGTAATAATAAAAGAAGGGTTGAGTGTGTCCCACAAACCTGCTCAAAGATCTCGATGGCTTTGGGATACTGCTCGAGCTGAGCGCTGTACGAGCCCACCTTCAGCAGACACTTATTAGCAGAGCTAATAAAGCAATACAAATGAGCATCTACGACCCACAATAACAGGACATGGAAGATAATTACAAACATTGAATGACATTCTGATTTACGCAGACAAACCTGTTTGACTCTTCGCCTTTGTAATAGTCTGCGGCCTGCTCGTAATGGGCGATGGCCTAAAACAACATCACAGCCCAGTTATAGCATTTCTGCGAAAACCATGCATGAGATAGCATCTAACAGATGTTTAAAGGCAAACAGCACCTTTTCGATATCCACTAGCTCGGATTCATAGATCTCTGCAATAGTCATGTGATGCTTTGCAGCGATCGTGAACCTTCCCTGTCAGTCACACACACAAATGAGAGATTAAATGTTATGTAACATTTACATGTTCAGTAAACAGGCAACCATATCGCGTAATATGCATGTATTTTATGCATCAATATGTACATTTATATATGAAAGCAAAATCCTAGTCTCTTACCATGTCTGTATAAATATCGATGGCTGCGTTTAAACAGTTGATAGCCTCTGTGTGAATGATTCAAACAGAAGGGAACAAAATATGAGCAGTGAGTCAAACGTGACGCTTACAAAACAGCTCATCAGGAGGTCATCTTTACTCATAACCTCATTCAATCAGTTATTAAATCAAGCAACAAAACTTAATCCAAGCAATCCACATTCTGGTGTCAATGTAGTACAGATTTTTGTTTTATTGAAGTCAGTGTTCATTTAGTATCATTGTGATAATTTATGTATGCACTAGTGCTGTCAAACGATTAATCGCGATTAATCGCATCCAAAATAAAAGCTTTTGTTTACATAATATATGTGTGTGTACTGTGTATATTTATTATGTATATATAAAGACATAAGATATATTTTTGAAAATATTTACATGCATATATTTATATTAATATAATTTATATCATATATAAATATATTTAATATAAAAACATAACATATTTTTCTTTAATATATACATGCATGTGTGTGTGTATTTATATATACATAACAAATATACACAGTACACACACATATATTATGTAAACAA